CTTAATCAAAACACTTGATGTCTCCTATCATTTCATGGGGTTATCCATCCATTTCGTTTGTCAACTCACAGTTCCATTGCTAAGTTCCGTTGAAGACAATAGGCATTTTAATTATGTTATTTGATGTACATTAATACTAATGCATTAATACTAATGTGCATGACAGATTACTTTTAACGGTCGTTTTCAGTGCTCTTGTGAGATTTGGTTTTTAGAATTTTGAGAATCATAAAAAGTGCTTCGTTAGGTATTATTCACTATTTCATGGCAAAATGTGAACAAATATTGCATTTTTTTGACCAAAAAAAAATGTGTAAAGGAAATAGAGGAAGGAAATTAGAAATTCTGAATAGCACAATATACTGCTAAATGTTCCAAAACTCTGGAATAGAAATTGAAAATTCCCAAAATTTCTACCTACTTTGGAAAAACCGAACACGAGAATATTTATATCAGCAAGATTACTTGCATCAGCATATATCCGATTTTCAATGTTATGAATGAATTTCAGATCAGATTGAAATGTTGTAATTTTTATCAGTCAATGATGGAAAATAAAGTGAAGAACGAAAACATGCGATGAAAAAATAAAAATTGAACAAGCGATTTATCACAAGATACCAGTTCAATATACTATATAGTGGATACGGTATGAAAAAAAGGTTTGTTTGAGATTTACATTCCTACTCAAAAATATTAACGCTGGTAACTTGAAACATTTATAGCGACTTCAAATTTTTCATCTGGCAATCTGTTCTTTAAAAATGGCAATCATCGATTATTTTAGAGATAATATATTTTGATTTTCATTGTTATGAATAAATTTCAGATTGAAATGATAAGTGATTTTTATCAGTCAGTGATGGAAAACAAGATAAAAGTGATTTTGTTTTTTGTTTTGGGATTAGAACGAAGAGTAACTAAAAAAACTATTCATTTTCATTAGCTGCAGATGTTCATTTACTTTTTCGTTTTGTTCATTGAAAATTTGTTTTAATCTGCTAATATTGGACAAATAATCCCACTGTTACTGCCTTAAATTCTTTATATTATCCCATTACATTTGTCACTGAAATTGCAAAAAACAGTGAATTCAATAACTACTTTAATACTGTTGCATTGCATAATGCATTGCATGTGTAGATATACCGTGCAATGTAAGCTAATATTGTGCGTCCATTGCACCTATGCACTCTATTAAAGCCGCTAATTGTGATCATAGATCTGACCCCAGAGCTTTGCCTCTACTCCAGGAAGAAGAACGTCCTGAGCGCCAAATCATCTTGGATAGATGCTTTTCAACAGGTCGATTGGTTCGACGATATTGGGCTTCATTGGGTCTATGGTTTCCCCTTTTTGTTCTTATTGATATTGTCATTGAATTTGTTTTATTAATATTGTGATTGTTGAATTCGTTTTTGCATTAACCAACTCATAGGAATAAGGGTTTAATTACCCAAGTTTGAGGTACATTCAACTAAAGAGACAGAAAGAACCCTCAGTCTTTGTCACGAATGAAGAAAATCGGCGACAATATTCTTTTTCATTCTTGTTCATACTCATTAGACCATCAGCGGCAAAAATATGAAAAAGAAAAAATTTTGTAGTTTGAAAGGATTCTTGTGTATTGAAAGCGTTTTATACATTGAATCATTTTGAGTAATTTGTTAGTCAAAAAATTTTTGCGATTTCTATAAAATAACGGATCGCAAAAAGAATAAAAAAACAGATGAGAAATCCCAATATTAAAATGAGATTATAGTAACAACGAATAGGCGCATAGCTTTCTATCATTACGCGCCACTTCTCACGTTTGCCGAGGAATGTCCGAAATGTGAATTTTCCTTCTGCTAGAATAAAATTTTTTCTGATGTTGTTTTATAGCATCAGAAGAAGTGAATGATTTTCTGAAGTTTATGGACTTTTCAACTTTTTCTATTTCATTTTCGCAGAGACTAATTTTTGAATTTATCTTACAAAAGCAATAACGGAAAAATTTACTTACAATTTCGGGAAATATCTACAATTTCATATGAATCGTAAGGAAGATCGGAGTACCGAAGTCTATGACGACAATGAAAAAGCTCAGGAAGAGGTTGCTAATACAATAAAGCTATCCAATTAAGAAGTAGCAATTTCACGATTTTTAATTAGATGTCTTTTGATTACAATTCATTGCTTATGCATGAATGCTTAAATGTCTTCGGTCTCCAGTAGCCTGCTTCGCTCAACTTTGGTCTTGTAAGTACTTAAAAACTTTTTTCCATACTTTTAAGCCATATTAAAGTCATAAACACCTGATGAAAAGGTGATGTTTGCTGCTCAAAACGATTCAATGACAAAATACGCATTTCTGTCATAGTATTGAAAATAAAATTTTGTGATTTTTTTTTCGGGTTACTTTGCATAGATTTTTATTTCGCAGAATTTGTTTATTACTTTATTGTATAAACAGTGTAGTGTTCTTTGGATTCTGTTTTTTTTCATTGTTCCTTTTTCTGTTTTCAATTTGAAATGAGTTACAAAATTTCTTAAGTTAAGTCTTAAGTTAAAATTCACTTATCATTTTAATCTGAAATTCATTCATAACAGTGAAAATCGGATATATGCTGATGCAAGTAATCTTGCTGATATAAATATTCCCGTGTTCGCTTTTTCCAAAGTAGGTAGAAATTTTGGGAATTTTCAATTTCTATTCCAGAGTTTTGGAACATTTAGCAGTATATTGTGCTATTCAGAATTTCTAATTTCCTTCCTCTATTCCCTTTACACATTTTTTTTTGTTCAAAAAAATGCAATATTTGTTCACATTTTGCCATGGAATAATGAATAATACCTAACGAAGCACTTTTTATGATTCTCAAAATTCTATAAACCAAATCTCACAAGAACACTGAAAAACAACCGTAAAAAAGTAATCTAGTCATGCCATTAG